AAAATTCATTCATCTATTTGCTGGCAGCCAAGTTATTTTCTGTCATAAATTAGCTCCTATATCCTCTGGGACATCTGCCCTTGGATCACTTCCTTGCTCTTCCTGTGCTGTTCGCTGTCACAGGGGTGCTAATCATTGAACTACCATTTCCCAGGCTCTCACGTCAGGTAGGGTTCAGCTTTAAAAACAACAACACGGCACTGCTGGAAGAAGGAAGGGCCGAGGATAAGAAAGAGAAGCATTTATTTCCACACCTCTCTCAGCCTGGAGCAGAGCTTGGACAGCAGCTGTATCTTCTCTGAGGCTCTAATTCCTGCTAAGCAGGCCAGCTATGATTCCAGCTCTCTAGGCTTCAAAAATACTTGAAACCTTTGTATCTCCAATTTAGGCGCAATACTAGTATCGTACTGTGGTATCTCCACCTGGCCTCATTGTTTCCTTGTTAGTTAGGTTTTTGGCTCTTCTAGCACTCATGTAACTAATTCCCTGCATAACATCCTTTCTGTTTTAAATACTCATAGTCATTTTTGTTATTTCTGATTGGATCTCAACTCTTACATGACCCCTTCCCAGTTTTAATTGGTGGTGGTGGTTATGTGCCATGGAGTCAGTTCCAATTCATAGCGACCCTGAATAAGTTTCCGAGGCTGTACATTTCTATGGGAACAGAAAGCCTCATCTTTCTCCTGCGGAATACCTGGTAGTTTCAAACTGCTGAACAAGAGATTAGCAGCCGATTTGTAACCACTACACTACTAGAGCTCCTCATTTTTAAATCAGGAATATTTAATTTTGCTGACCAAATTAGAAAACAGTTTATGTATTAGGGATAGTAAATATCTATCATATGCTATACAATTTTCTTTTCCTATAGTTGGCCAGGCACTTTTTTTCTTTTTTTTTTTTACTACTCCCAGTGCCTTTCTTTGCTTTCTTCACTTTTTGCTGACCTTCCTCTTATTGTAGATTGCCTTCCCCTTCACCCTAGTTAACATGTGTCTAATCTCGGTTTAATATACTGGACTCCAAAGTCAGTTTGAACTGCACGGTAAGCAGTTTAAGCTCACCAGTCATTTCTTGGGAACCCTATACAGGGTCACTGTGGGTCTGAACCAACTCAACAGCACTTAACAACAAATTCTAGTTGGAGTCTTAGTGTGGGATAAAGCACTGGACCGCAAGGTCAGTTTGAACCACAGGGTAAGCAGTTCAAACTCATCAACCGCTCGTTGGAAACCCTACACAGAGTCACTAGGAGTCGGAATCAACTTGACAGCACTTAACAACAACACCCTCTAGTTAATAATTTGCCCTCCCTTTCCATTCCACCCCTGATAAATATCAACGAATGTTTCTTCTTGTGTGAAAACCTTTTTGTAATAGTGGCACCACACCATACTGTCCTTTTATGACTGACTTATTTCACTCAGCATAACACCCTCCAGTTCATCTATGTTATGAGATATTTTGTAGATTTATTGTTGTTATTCTTTAACATTGTGTAGTATTCCATTGTGTTCATGTGTTTATCCATTTAGGTTTTTTCCATCTTTTCCCTATTGTGAAGGGTGCTGCAGTGAACACTGTTGTTAGCTGCCGTCAAGTCAGTTCCGACTCATAGCGACCCTATCCAGTGTTTCCAAGGAGCTGCTGGTGAGTTTGAACTGGCGACCTTGTGGTTCAAACCAACCATGTGGTCGGGTGCTTACCCTACAGCACCACACCAGGACTCCAATGAACATAAATCTATTTGTGTTGCAGTTATATACCAGGTAATGAGATTGCTGAATCATATTTTATTTCTAGTTTCAACTTCTTAAGGAAGAGTCATACTGTTTTCCACAGTGATTGCACCATTTTACAACCTCACGAGTAGTGTATGAAGCTTCCGGTCTCTCCACACCCTCACCAGTGTTTCTTATTTTCTGCTTCACAAACTCTGATATTAATACTTGGGTGATATGATACCTTAATGTTGTTTTGATTTGTATCTCTCTACTGGTTAATGATCATAAGCATTTCTTCATATGTTTGTTGGCTGCCTGAATATCTTCCCTGGTGAAGTATCTATTCATGTCCTCCTCGGGCCAATTTTGTTATTGAAGTGTTAAAGTTTTCTACCATTTTACAGATTAGCCTCTTGTTTAATATGTCACTGCCAAAAAATTTTCCCAGACTAATTTTGTCATATTCATAGACTAATATAACTTATAGAAATATAATTTTTAAGTACAATCCATTAAAATTATCTTATATTTTTCTTTGCTTTTATTCCTATTCTTATAATAGTTGTTAAGTGCCATCGAATTGGTCCAAACTCATAACAACGCAGTATAGGGCTTCCGAGGAGCAGCTCATGGGTTTGTACTGCTGACCTTGTAGTTCACAGTCCAGTGCTGATTCTATAGCGACACACCAGAGGCTCATTCCCAACCTAATACCAAAGAAATAACCACCCGTACTATCTATGCACTTTCAATCTCTATAATCCATTTTGAATTTATCTTGGCTATAACATAAAACAGGTAACTATTTTCTCTCAATTTTCTAGTTGACATTTTAAATGTGTATCTAATAGAATAAATGCCTTTCTGTTTTTATTTTTCCCTCTCTACCATGTATTTAAGGAGCTCTGGTAGCGTAGTGGTTACGAATAGGGCTGCTAACCTCAAGGTCAGCCGTTCGAAACTACCAGCTGTTCCATGGGAGAAAGATGAGGCTTTCTGCTCCCAATAAGATTTACAGCCTCGGAAACCCTGTACAGGGTTGCTATGAGTCAGAACCAACTCCACAGTACATAACAACAACAACAACAATCATGTATTTATTTCCTTGAAACATGCAAATGCCATAGCCCAATCATATTTCAATTATAAAGTACCCTAAATTTTTCTCAAAAACTTTTTCTTTTGTATATCATCAATCTCTCTATGTTTTGCCTATATTTTCTTTAAAATTTTGTAATATAACTTTGATATGTGCAAAATAATCCCATACTAAACTGTCTTTTGGAGTTCTGTTCAAACTTCATAAATTATAACATGTTGCTGCTGTTGTTACGTGCCATCAAGTCGGTTCTAAAATCTACCACCCAGTCCAAGAATGGGAGCATTAACAATGACCTGCACTCCATCATGCCCTCACCGTCTATATGACAATCATGATACTGAATTGTGTGTGTATCCGTTCCTTGATCTTTAAAATGAAATTTTGTTGTTGTTGTTGTTAAGTGCCATCGAGTCGGGTCCGACCCATAGCGACCCTGTACAGGGTTTCCGAGGGTGTAAATCTTTACGGGAGTAGAAA